CAATCTCCGAGAAGTCAACCGGCACTCACAACGTTTAGCCGGCTTGCGCAGATTCCATCTTTGACGAGTAACACATGACAGATTAACGAAAAGCTTAAAGGACCACACAAACGATGGGCGGACGTGTTTGAGGGCTAACGTCAATCATCTGCAACCGCAGATGGCAACGAGTGGGATTCGCGGAATGGGCCTCGCGTACGTCACCATGCTCGAAACAGCCCACCACCATAGGCGACTGTTGCGCGAGAGGGAAACGAATAGAAACAATGCTGAGGTCCGCACTACCTGTGAAAACGGGCCGTCCAAGTATCCAAATAAGTAAGTAATGGTTCTTCTTTATTATCCAGGAACAAATGAAGAAACAGCACTTTGCTATACAAGGACTTTTCTTGGGAGTTTCAACAATCATTCGAAAGCTTGAATCTCAGGACAGTGCTTTCACGAGCCGATCCAGGTTTGGAAGGATTGGTGAGCATAATGAGCTAATCGAACCAGCCAACAGATGTATATTACAGGACACTTCTGACCACTGGGCTATGCTCACTCACCTCACAAAGTACATCGTAATATTCGAAATATTTGTAGTGGGACAACTGATTCGTAGATATAGCTTCAAAATATCTCGGAGTTCTTCCACTGAAGCTTGATACACTTTTGTTCTAATTTACATCACAAATTTGGTTGAGATCTGAGTGACATTCATTTCACCAATCAATCCGTGAGAAACTCCCACGCTTCGTAAATCAGAGGCAATAGGCAGAGGAACATATTACTACGAAAGCTTTGGAGCCTTAGGAATATACAATGAAAACACAGTTTGACACTATCAGACAAGTTTTGGTCAATAAATGGTATGACAATGAAAGCTCCACGAAATTTCAGACAATCTCACAGCAGGAAAAAAAAATAGACTCGTAAATACATGCGTATAAGAGGTGACAAATACGAGGAACTCATTTTCGCGACTTTGTCTCATTTCCTACTTCACAACGGATCATGCTTCATTTCCAATTCTTGCAGATTTGGTGGTTCATTTGTCTCAACGACAGGCCATATTGCGAATAATTGAACGAACTGATTAGTTATCAACTAACGTGCAAAAATGAATAATCAATTGCCCTATGGTTGTGCATAAATGTGTTATGCTGTTCACTAAATGGCACATTTTAGAGCCGCATGGTCGGCAGCATTGAGAAGTGTTTTACTAGCAGTGCTGTGCTTAATTCTATGCTTTAGCGTTTCCAAACTCTGAAGGGTGTGACCACTCATTGCATTAATTAGAATTGAAATAATAGTCTAATGTCACTTGGATTCAAAGTCAATGAGCTTATGCAAGGACGGTTTTTTGAATATATCTACGTGCATACTGCTGCTTTTTCCAACCAACTCCCAGCACAACATTCTTACTCTTTGAGCTATCGATTGATTACAAGGTGCTTGGCAAGAAATTTGTTTAGCCCACCAAAAATTGTATGCTTTGAAGCCAGTATGTCGAGTAATTGTGTGTACCAGTGCACATGTCGAAATCAGTGCACATGACCGTCAAACAGTCGAGACCACTGTTATCAAAACAAGCAAGGAAGCCGAGTGAGAAATAAAGGTGTCGTGCAGGATCATTTTTTTGAATATTAGTGTACACTGTTTTTCTGTATGTGTAAAATATGAAGCCGAGAGAGGGAACAAGTCAAGCCGTTGAGACCACAGCAGTCCATGTTATGAAACAATTAAGTTATTTTAGGAGTCAACAGCTGTAAAGCAGAGTGAAGTCGCTGAAACAAGGTTAGATCCAGGTAACCAAATAAATTACAAAGTTACTCAATAAAACATCATTGCTATTGTGAACTTGCTCGTTTTTGCGGTGTGCCGCGCTGCTAGTCTGCTTGAATTTGTGATAGCACCATGCCTCAAACTCGATATTCACACTTTTATATATAACCACAGCAATATAAATAGCAACGGCTAGAGTGAAAAACCGCCATTAAGAAAGTAAACGAAGTGAGCGGTAAGTGAGCATGACGCTGAGCGCTATTGTTCGACAGATGGATGGCATCACTCATTTTCAGTCAGTCACTGAACGAAACACTTTATTTTCACTTCACAATTGCTCATCTTCACCTTTGATAACAGTGTGGCCTAATTTTTTAGCACAAAATCGCTGTAAAAGGACAGAACTCTTCATGTAAAACTTACGATGACTTGTATGTAAAATGACTGGTTAATGTCATTTGCTGCTGCGTTTACCTTAGTACCTAGTGATATCTTTCGTTTCGAGTGTTTTCTCGAGACCACTGCTCAAATTTCAATATGCCTGATAATCATTATTTGAGCCACGCATGTGAGTGGTCTATCAAGGAGAGCTGACTTATAGAGCCCGATACACGTGTTTCGATCTTGCGATCTCATCAATCGGGCAGTTACCCTTTCTCGTCTTCTGCTATCGAGACTGACGAGATCGCAAGATCGAAACACGTGTATCGGGCTCTATAAGTCAGCCCTCCTTAATAGACCACTGACATGCGTAGCTCAAATAATGATTATCAGGCATATTTGTAATGATAATTAGTTGTTGCGTGCACGGTAATTTTTATGACTGTACGAAACTCGGCATTGTCATTTACCAGATAGTGAGTTTTTAGATAAATGAAGAGATCTTCGTCGTGGATAAGAGCAGAGCTATAATGCCACATTTATTATTTCTCATAATTGACTAATTAAATAAATATGAAGGTGGTTTGCCAAGCGTTAGGCAGTAATTTGGAATTTATAGAGAGGTTTAAGGTGAGTAATACGGAGTGAGTGAATGTTCTGACCAAACTGTGTCTTGCTCCATTGTACAATTCACTAGAGTCTAAAGACACACATGCAGATCGCTACAACGTACCACACTTTTCTGCTTCTCCACGGGTGCCTATGCTTCTTTAGATAATTGCAACTGCTCCTTAACTTCGCTCGATGCTTCTTCGGCAGGCGACCTCAGCACACAGCCTTCCAATGAGCACTGGTCACCACTGTTCTCATCTCTTTTCAGCTTAATCTAAGTTGATGGTTGGTTTGAAGGCGACGAAATGAAATAATTTTAGTCTTTGTGCTCATGAGAAACATTAGCTCGTCAATTTATCCATTTTCGTGGCGATGGGCTCTGGACTCCTCATTCTCCCGCTTTTTTGTGGAAAAATTGCTCATACATTTGATCGAAAAATATGTTTGCCAGAGCTTAAAAAAATCAAAATCTCATTAGCTCAACACTGTGGCCACCTGAGTGCAGGAGATATTACACACTGATGCAATAATGAAAGAAAAAGAATGGTAAAAAATTGTCCTCTTCTGCGTGGAATATTGTCTCTGATTGTGCCACCTAGCATTTCTATAAATTACACCTCATAAAAATTAAGTGAAAATATGTGCATCTTTGATCTGTAAAAATCAAGCGAGAAGCCCGAATATTTGAAGGTAGCGAAGGTCTGCTCTAGTTCTGCATAACGTTTTTCGGCTGCTACCCTAGCTTGATGCTCGAGCACTAGTTGCGCATTCATCAATAAGGTGCTGTTGGCTTCCTAATCTGACTGTGAGGTATAAACTGTGTGGATGGCACAGTAGAATGTGTGCAGATCACAAGTTGACAGACAAACCTGAGGTGTGCGCTGAGTCTTCTTTTCGAGCACTTTTTCAAGCGAGCGCACCTTGAAATTAAAAGGTTATGGTTAACCTAAGCAGCTGAGGCATGCTGTCACATTGAACAACTGAAAGCATGAATGGAATAGGCATCAGCTTAGTGCATGGTGATTTTTGCTACCATAAGTCAAAGTTTGTCTACATCCGCATCGCTTTTCCGCATGAGCATATGGGGACATCTTACCCGACTATTCGCATGATCGCATGAAGAATCACCTCGACCAACTTCCTTCGGCATTCAGATGAACAATGCGCAATGCTTATCAGGGTTGAATGAGAAAGAAACCGAATATGCAAGAAGTAGCAACATACACACAGTAGATTTTATGAAGCACTACCTATTTAAATTCTTGGATCGCGCGTCTTCTCTGGTAGTGCAAGCACCAGCAAAGCTTCCCTTAATTTTTCTGGCTCAAAAGGCAACTCTTTAGCTAGCCATTAGGCAGGACATTTTTGAACCGGCTTTGAATTGTGATGCCGCTGTGAATGGAAGTTATGCGTAGAGGGATTTTGTAAGTGGCGACCGATAACGTTTCTCACATTTCAGCCGATCTCTACCATCACTCCGTAGTAGGGTGAGATTTGTCTGTTTATCGATGACTACGTTCAACTAACGAATACGTCTCGTATCTGAAGAGTAGATGAGGTTTTTTATGAGATTAATAGACAAGCGCCACTACTTTAAGTCATAATCTTGAGTCATTAGAGGAGTCAGATGTTTCCACGATAGGGTTTACTGTATACCTAATCTATTGCAAGGCATGTGGCGAAAAACATCATGGTGAAACGGATAGGCCACTTTGTGTCCGCATGAAAGAACACCTAGACGCAAAGGATAACTCTAAATCGAGTTTCCCGCTTGGCACTCTTAGGACACAAGCATGTAACAGAGTAAATTTCCAAGTAGAAGTCACTATTTTTGCACAGGAACACGCGACATCATTGCGTAAGATTTGGAAGCGTTTCTAATTTTTACCACCAATCCAAGTTTGAGTTGCAGGGAAGAATGCCTCGTGGCCACGCGTGATATGATACAGTATATATAACAGTTATTTTGATGCGGACAACATATTATAGGCTTATGTGATCTCTTCCCGGTAGTCTCTACTTGAGTAACTCAGCGGGAGACTTATTGAACAGGGTAAGTATGTTGAAGACTAACTTTTGTGGCTGATGCGATTGGAATATAGGTTTAGTTGTTTTTTCTGCTGAAGTTTTGGTGCTGCTTGGCCGACTGGTTTGTAGGCAACCTTGAATTTTACTGCTTCTTTCGCAGTGTTATGATGTTGCATGTATTCCTAAGAGAATTGAGTAGTGAGAAAAAACACGGTCTCAGGCGGGAATCGAACCCACCCCCTATCCACCCAGGGGACGCGTGCAACTACCGCTACACTATCGAGATACATTCGCACCACCACTCATTCTTCAACATCTCTATGACAGCTATCAGCAACCAACCTTCAAGAAATCTGGTCGGGTATGCGATATCGCTTTATAAACTCACTAACTTTTTTGCATCCTGAATTATCTTTTAAGACATTCTGCAAACGTTCCGAGCCTTCACCGAATAAAAGTGGCTTACTATTAAGCTCAGCTCCACAATTGCCAGTTTGCATCGATGGCACCGACCACTGTCCTAAGTCGATCACTCCCCTAGAAGAATTCTCGTTGTACAGTAGCAGCGCGCGTGCCATAAAACCTTTTTTTATCGTGATGTACTTGCCGCAGGCATCTTATCTGCAAGTTTGATGCATTTTTGAAGGGCTAATCTCGAGCTATCTGTACCTTTTCCAAAACCCACATCTCCAGTTTATCAGAATTACTAGAGCAGACCGACAAGGAAATATTTAGATGCAGATAAATGACGAGATTCATTATAAATTCGAATTGTAAATTCAAGCAAGCCGCTTGAAGTACTGGTATTGTAGAGCCTCTTTCAGACGATCTCTCTTATCTTTCGCATGCTTCTTGAACTGCGAATAATGGGCAAGCACCTACTGACGTCGATGCTGAAATTCTACAAAAAACAAATACGATCACTTCTTGTTATGTCGTGTTTAACTTTTTAAGGCAAGATGATGCAGTTTTTGTTAAAAGATAGATCTATCGTCTTAGTCATGTCTTGAATATGGATGCTGGAACAAGATCACTATGTCTCTAAAAAGGTTCAAGTTGACCATGAGCAACAATTTTCGGAAAATTAACACAAACGCTCAACAAAACCGAATCAGTCATGAGTGCTGCCGTATCTCTACTCATAACTATAAGAATAGCAGCGAAGCAAAGTAGTCAACACAAATGAACGACAAAAAATACGATAGCATCTAAACACTGGAATTGTGAAGTGGATATACTAAAATCACCTGTATATCTTCGCCAGTTTCAAGGATATTATTTGTTTTAGAATCGTCACCTCAAGTACGGGTTCCGGTGGAGCGCCGTCGTCCTACATCGCTTAAAAGCCAAAATTTAATGATATAAGGTTTTTGAAGAGGGACAGAATCCTCATTAAGATTAAAAATCGCCTTTCCGAAAACAGCTGATTTCGAAGGAGCAGCAAAAATGCGAGAACGTCAACATAAAGGCAGAGGGATAGACATAGAGACAGACAGAGACAGAGACAGGGAGAGAGAGAGTGCGAAAGAGAGTGAGACAGAGGAAGGGAGAGAAACAGAAAAACCTCAAAACACAAACGCAGAAAGAGAGAATAAGAAACAACACAAGGAGTGACGAGAAAACAATGAAGGAATGCATTGAACTAAAGAAGACTGAAATCGACGAAACCATCACACTGGCATCACTCGTAGCCGAGATAAAATTGCAAAAAAAAAGTAAAGTCGCATAGAAAACTAGTAACAGCATGGCAAGTCACGTTCATACTTCTCCAGGAACCCACAGAGCTCTCATAATCAAATCATACGGTAGTGAAAGGAAAGGAAAGAAAAACAATGAATGACGTTTGAAATGATGATGGCACTTTTAATGTTCGTTGGTTTTCCAGATACCGAGCTAATAGAGAACGTGAAAAAGAGAAGAATGAAAAAGCCGAGAGAACAAACGAACAAGGAATAAAGACAGGCAAGACAAAAACGTGAATCAATGACGAAAGAAGACAGAGCAAAAGAGACGTGATAAAGCGCCACCGTAATATCGAATTTTTCAAATCACTTTGCACTGATGCCGATTTGACTCCATTCGGCTTGTTTTATGGAGAAAAATCTGCTTCAATGCAGCGTTCAATCCTGCAAAACTCACGAAAAAGAAATTTGCCTACTGCTGTGCCGATTAAAAGAGAGTTCGGATTAAATGACAGACCACACTGTGACGGACAGAGTCGAAGACAGGTCAGTGGAACTAGTTAGGAAATAATAAAGTGTGAACACAAAACTGTGAGTAATGTTGGGAGGAAAAGGTCACCTTGAAGTATTTAGTAGGAAAACCATAAGCATCAAGAAAAAGATTACGTTTCGCGATCGGAATGCGTTGTTATCACTTGAGTAGTGAAGAATGATATTCACCGAAAGCAGGTAGCGCATCAGGTCTCTCAAGTGGTGATGAACAGCTTCATCTGGGTGCAGATACTATCACTGAAGATATTTTGAAAAGTTGGAAAAGGCACGAATCGAACTAAACCGTCTTGAGAACATTCAACTAAAAAGAAATACGTAGGGTACGTAAAACTGATGCGCATATCTAGTGGCAAAAGTCGCTGTGATAAAAAATGTTCGTATCTTAGAATAAGTAGATATTAAATGATAATAAAAGATCATACTCAATATCTGTCAGCATAAGTGGGTTCAATGTCGTTAGCGACTACCAACACCAGACCGTCGACGGTCGGCTGCTGACAGATAGGCGCATTGTAGCGTAGAAAGAGTAGTGCCAAAACTTACGTCTCTAGTGCAACGGTTGAGCACGAGCCTCCGGGATAGGGTGAAATGTGGGTTCGGATCCCAACTGACGCAAAACTTTTTGCACATCACTCTACATCACGGGATATGATAAAAGAGTTCACATTTACAGAGCGATTGGAAAAACGGTTCTATGATTTATTAGAAGGTTCCAGTTCGTGAAGTACACAAATATCTAAAAAAATTGTCGGGAATTGTCAATAAGCTGCCATCGCATGCAGTAAACATTACCGTGACAAACTATTCCTTATTTTTTGATATTAAATCACTATGAAAACTATCGGCTATTGTACTGAGTTAGAGGATATCGAAACTGGAACATTCATATAGCAATAATCGATTGCGGAAGTGCAGAATGAACATATATTAGATTATTTGGTATTGAATATTTGTGGGTGAATTAAGGTGAATTGTTGCTAGCATAAGGAACTAAAGATAGTTATAAATGAATACGACTAAATACAAATAAAATAGCATAGGAATGCTCATTAACAAATCGAAATACGATTTTTCTTCGTAAGCATGTAATCCTCCCTCAAAAATTCGGGGTTTTAGCCGAAGAGTCGGCTCTACTTTCAGTTCACAGCGACAAATAATGTTTATAATTGAGTATAAGTGTTATAGAGTTATAGCCCTGAAGACAACAAAGTAAAGCCTCTCCTACAGCTCTGTAAAAGGTACAACTCCTAAAGTACCCTAGTAACAAAATGTCCCTCTAAATCATCCATGAAATGGTATCGTATCGCGATTTAAAGTGTAAGTTATAACGAATATGCCATTGTTTAGTTGTTTGAGATTCAAACCAAAGTTAGTCTTATGAAGTTTCTACTTCAAATCACATTTATTTAGCTGAATGATGATACTCTTTTTATAGATAAGAAAGGTCTAAATTGATTACGAAACCACAACATTGTAAAGATTACGCGCTCTAATCCCAAGGTCGATCGTGCCGACTTCCTCTCCAGTGACTAACGCGACGCCGTTTCTCAACACCTGACTTTAAGATTCAATTTAAACACTGTAACAAGAGGTTTGTGCACAATATCAACCATGGTAAAATCTGTGCATTTTGTATGCGAGACGTTGCCGCAATGTTTGCTGAATACATTCGTGCATAGAATTAACAAATTTTCTGGGAATTGCCTTCACTTGTCTATTTGGTCTGGCTTTCTAGATTGTGCGAACTCTTCACGTTTTCACTGTCGTCTCCAGTAAACTTGATATAGCTATCGGTAATTAAATGTGTTTAAGTTCAAACTGCTAACAAAATTATCAATCTTTGTCTACAGGGTAGTCCGGCTTCATACACTGTACCGATCTGTCTCTTCGGTTTATGTGCCTATAATCGTCATCCATAAGGGTGCCTATATTTATTTGTAAAAACGGCTGCTTTTGAGGATTTGGTCTACTTTGTGAGTGGTGTGGAGCGCTGATTGAGTCGGATCTGTGTGGGTTCTCGAAATAGCTGCCTTTGGGAGTTTTTGTTCTTCATGGCTGAAGATCGTCGACCGTTGTGGATCGCAGTGTGGGTCTTATCTCATAGAAACGATTTGAAAATGATAAAATTAAAGATAAGAAGTATATAATGTCCATTGCTTTTGCAGTCTGGTTCCTGAAAGTCGCTGTGTCATTGTCAGATGGTAACTGATTCTATGGTGTCTGCTGGTCGTTTGAAGGTGTAATATTTGAATGGACATAAGGAGTAACCAATGTGGCTGTTACTGAGTACACAGCGTCGTAATAGATTTCTTTGTCATCACTACGCCACAAAGATTTTCGATCATCATATATATCCTTTCTTCCTTGGTGGATTGGCTGTGAGATGGGTCTTAGCACAAATAATCACCATTATTAAAGTTTATCGTTTCCGCCACATAATAAAACTTGTGAAAAATCAGACGATGGTAGTACCTTTCTTCTAAAGTGAGATGATGAAATCGAGAAAATTACGCTGATCCTATAAAGATACGCGATCCTGGTTCGTCCAGAGCTGTGTTTAAGTACACTAGTTGAGGTTAATAAGTGCAAGACCAAGTAGCATTTCGCTTTCTGCGATGAGAATCAATGGAAGAAAATGTTTGGTCTGATGAAGAATAATAATTTCGTAGTGAAAAGTCGTCAATAGGATTGAATTCATTAACACAACTCAGTAACTGTGTTCTCAGATGAATATGATTTGGAGCGAAACTCTCATTCATTCGTGAAGTTTTTTGGTTAAGAAGAAACTTTTCATTCAAACATCTCTTGTTTGCATCCACGACGATCTATCCAATGGATAAACATTATAAAACTAATCAAAAGCGTAGCATCGGAAGTTCTTCTATGAATTTTCTCATCACGCACTCTAATGGAGGATTCTGCAGTTCATTACTCTTATTCTTATTATTGTTATCAATAATATTTCAGCTCATTATTGCTAATATTAATAACATTACTATTATTATTGTTATTATTGATATAACTGCCGTTGCTATTATTGTTAATGCTTACT